GTGACCGAATTTATCTACATTCATATTTTAGTTGTATTATATTTAAGGGTTGATAGTAAAATGAACAGCAATTTTTTTTTACCATTTATTTATTACTTAATATATTTACTTTCACGTAGTTCTTCAATAATAGATATAATTTCGTTGTCTAATCCAGTGTTACCAGCGTCTCGAGATGCAATCAATAATTTTAACCTATCCACAAGTTCATTAGGATCATCCCAATATATAAAATCTGTATCTTTCTTCCACATTTTTGTCAAAGGTAGCCCTTTTCCTTTTGATTGATTGTTTTGAATAGCAGTTGGCGGTTGAAAAAGAGGTTTTATGACTTGCATATATTTTTGTCCCTTATTACTTTTTATTGGTTTGTTTGAGTCAAAGTCTCGACGATGTGCGTTTGTTGTAATCAACATCATTTTATAATTCTGCAGATCAGATTCTTTAATCATGCTCAAATCTACGTCCTTTTTTAATAACAGTTGTCTTAGTCCAGGAGTGCTTGGATATTTCCGTCCAGCGACGGTGATATAATTGTCACTGATCGTTATGACAGCAGAACCTAACATCAGTTGTCCTTGCGCCGTACGAACACCAAACGGGATATCTGAAAGTGCTTCTGAAGATATTGACCAGGATGATGTATTTGTCTCTGGATTGTTGTCTCCCAAGGATTGGTACGACTCGTCACTGTCTGTATAACATTCATTTTCTTCCACGTCACTTTCTCCTCCGTTTATAGTATAGTCTTGTTGCAATGTATCGTTTTTGCACGGAATTTTTGTTTCTTCAACTTCTTTAGATCGCAAGGGGTCAGTTTGCTTATTGCTGTTAGCAATTAAATTAAGAGACTCTGTTACAGGTCTAAAAACTGATTCTAATGCCTGCTTATTCTCAGTGTCAAAATCTCGCATTTTTCGTATTTTTTTCTTTACAGCTTCTGCAGCATCAACAATTTGTATTTTCAATGATTTTTTCCATAACGGTAGACTATGATTGTTATCGCTTAAGAGTCGGTCAAAGAGTAATGATATCAAGTAAGCATCATAGTCTTAAATATTTGTATTTCTAATCAAAGACTACAAATGTATCAAATTTATTTCTATAACATCCGTTATTTTTATTACAGTCTTTATTAATTACAACATAATTAAAGGGTTCACTCCATATTTTAGAACACATTTCTCGAAATTCAAGCCATGTCATATCAGTGTTAACATGTTCTTCATAAACATGCCTCAAGTTAATATCATCTTGTTTAAATAATACTATTAAATTAGCATTATCTCTTACTAACTGCTTAGGGATTTTGCTATATGTTTGATTTAGATAAAAACAATCGATGTGTTTATGCCTCCCCATTGCGAAATAATCACGCATGTTAGTTTGATTCTCGCAAGCAACGTCATCGAATATAATTACAGAGTTGGGTTTTGCGTCCTGAACGCTTATAACTTCCTCGTTCCCTTGATATTTCTGGAGTGAGATATTTGGTACCCGTTGTAATACTTTTTCTAAAAAAATGTACTTTGGTTGGTGTAAGGTTTTTGAATAAACATAAACATTTTGAAACCGTAAACCATTTTCATGTATAAGAAGTCCAATAAGTAAATTAGTTTTGCCACAATTCGATGGTCCGCAAATAATACATCGTACTGAATTAGGTAACAATTCTCCATGACGCAAACTAGTTTTACAAAAGTCACCGCAAATCGTGCCTACATGCAGCGATTGTGGTTGTTTAACAAATTTCATGATTTCTGTTGTCAACGAACTGATTAGTAATGAGTAAAATTTTACTTCCACAATCTTTATAAACTTAAACAGCCTACCTAGCTACTATCTATTTTACGTTCATTTATCGGAAGTAAAATAACTTGAACTATCGTTGGTCGAGTAGAGAGTCGAGTCGCTTATTGGTTATTGGGCATTCTATTCCACTATCGGTAGCGAGGCGCACTCGCCGAGCGACTTGCCGATAGTGGAATAGAATGCCCAATAACATACTACTTGCCTTCTTGCGCTTGTCCCGCAACCCAGGCTAAACATCAGCCTCTCATGGCTGAGTGGAAGCAGCGACTGTCGCAACCGAGGGCCGGGCACGCTACTATAGCAGCGGTAAGACCCCTCTTTGAGGAGTGGCTTGAGAGACGCCACGGCGTCCTCACCTTCCGCCTGACGCAGGTGCTTACCGGGCACGGCAGCTTTGGTAGGTTCCTGTTTCGGATCCAGCGGGAGGAAACGCCCGAGTGTCGTCATTGTGCGGATCACCTGGAGGACACGGTGGAGCATACGGTGGCGGAGTGCCCTGCTTGGGCTGAGCACCGCCGTGTTCTCAGGGAAGTGATCGGCGGCGGCGACCTCTCGCGCCCGGCCTTAATCGAGGCCATGGTGCAGCGTGAGAGGAACTGGGAAGCTATCTCCTCCTTCTGCGAAGCAGTTATGCTCGCAAAGGAGGAGGCGGAGCGCGTGAGGGAACTATCCTCCTCGCGCCCCAGCCGCCGCAGAAGGCGACATTCCGGACGTCGGGGATCGAGAGATGATCTCCGGCCACCGTAAGCGCGGGTCTGCGGACGGCGAGTAAGGGTAGCTCGCCGCCCGACCAGAACCGGACCCGAGCGTACGGCGCGTAGCGTTCCGCGCGCGCCTCAAAGAGCCAATAGACCACCACAGTCGGGGCCCTAAAGGGCTGATGTTTAGCCGGGGCTGCGGGGTAAGCGCAATGAGGCACCGCGACCTCGGCCCAGAGCAGGAGAAGGAACGGGGGGGTTTTTAGTCAGTAAGAGTCTGACACTCTCTCTCGCCTTACCCTGGGCGGGAGAAGTCATTGGATGATTTTCCCCTGACAAAAAAAAAAAAGGCTAAACATCAGCCCTATAGGTACCCGTCTGTGGTGGTCCAACATAAGTGATATGCTGGATTAATATATAGGACTTGTTATCAACATTCCACATGGGAAAAGCCGCGGGCGGAAGCTAGTACTGCCATTATTCAAAATTAAAATGAAACAATAGTTTATCATTCGAACCTAAGTCGCTCTATAAAAAAATAGGAATCTCAAGAAAACGAGCGTACTCCTTCCTTCCTACTTACCATTAGGCTATAAATCTGCTCGTTTATCATCTGTTCCATAAAATATACCAATGAAAGTGGGTTCGATAGCTTATTTACCTATTTAAGAAAAAAAAAATATGTTAACAAAATAAATATAAGGCTTAGATACACTCATCCATTATTCATCTTTGACACAATATTCTAACTTCATTTATATATCTATGAACAAAAAGCCATGTGTACCCGTTTATTTATTTTGTATTGTATGGCAAGTATATAAGGTAGCATATGGTACTAGAAATGGGAATGTTCTGCTTCAATTGGCTATCAATCAAATTGTACGGGAAAATGGAAATAATATGGAGTTAGATATTGATAAAAGTATTTTGTTTTTGCAAACAAATGATGATACGTATTTGTTTGTTTCGTCAAAATGCTTGGCGTGCAATGAAATATTAAAGATAGTCACAATTAGGACCGTAAAATAATTTTAATAATAACTTATTTAATTGTTCGCTAACGAAATCCTAACTGAAAAAAAAAATATAGGTAAAATGCTACTAAAATGTAAATGTAACAAGTTGTATCTTGTCATATTCAGCTAGCTTTTTTGAGAGTGGAAAATCATGTAACGACTTCTCAGTGTCAGAGTGTTCGGAGTGTCAGACTCTTACTGACTAAACTACCCCGATCTTTCTCCTAATCCAGGCTTTTACCCGCAACTACCCAGAAAAGACACCAATACCTCCGTACTTATTAAGACAGAGGTATAACCAATTCTATAATTTTCTTTTAATAAATTCATGCCGGCAGCCAATTTCAATTAGATCAACTTCGAAATTTTTTTAGACAAATGAGGAAATAATAATAATTCAAGAAGGGACTAATTTCGCGACGTTTCACGTCGACGTTCGAAATTTGAAGTGTCACTTAAGAATAAAATACTAATGACTGGCCGAATATTTTACGGCCTTGGAACAACCTTCTTCGTTAGGGTCAATCTTAAGAATTTGCGAGTGGCTTAGTAACATTATTTATAAAAAAATATTCACCACTTTTTGGCTGAAAGGTTTGTAATTGTATGCCTACTGCTAACTACCCGTTATATTTCATGTAAGTTTCGAATTAATTATAACGAATATTATTAGGGCTAATTTTTCAACAGTAAGATAAAAGTTATCTGTGGATTAATTATGATGCTGTCGCGTCAGAATGTTTGTGTAAAGACAGTGACAGCAACAATTTTATTCCTCAGATAACTTTTATTTGACAGTTAAAAACTCAACCCCTAATGATTTTAAACTGTTTGAGCAATTTTTTAACTATCAGTAATTTTAACTATTTTGAGTTAATCAAATAAAAGTGAAATAATTAAAAAAATATTGAATTTTTGCTTAATCTTCGTACTTTGCCAAGACAAAACTACAAGAAACTCGAATATCATGATAACCTCAAAATCAAAAGGCAGTAAATACCGCAAATGAATATTGGATTTTTATTAAATATAAGAAGATTTGTATACATTATACGTATATACTACATGCAATTAGTATGTAGCCTGCCTGTGTAAATTGATTTCATTTTCATTGTTTCATTGTTTCGCTTTATTTTTTAGACTTTATTTAGAGAAAGAGAAAGAGAAAGAGAAAGAGAAAGAGAAAGAGAAAGAGAAAGAGAAAGAGAAAGAGAAAGAGAAAGAGAAAGAGAAAGAGAAAGAGAAAGAGAAAGAGAAAGAGAAAGAGAAAGAGAAAGAGAAAGAGAAAGAGAAAGAGAAAGAGAAAGAGAAAGAGAAAGAGAAAGAGAAAGAGAAAGAGAAAGAGAAAGAGAAAGAGAAAGAGAAAGAGAAAGAGATATTGGATTTTTATTAAATATAAGAAGATTTGTATACATTATACGTATATTACTTGAATGTCGTGGTGGCCCGGCGGTTAAGGAGCCCGCTTCTCATGCATGAGGGTGTGGGTTCGAAACCTGGCAAGTACCAATGTGACTTTTTCCGAGTTATATGTACTTTCTATGATTATTTAGACGCCACTGACATACGGTGAAGGTAAACATCGTGAGGAAACCTGGACTTATAATTTCTTATTATAAGTTTGAAATCGCCAACCCGCATTAAGCAAGCGTGGTGATTAATGCTCTAACCTTCTCCGTATGAGAAGAGGCCTTTGCTCAGCAGTGGGCACTTATAGGCTGATGATGAGTGATGAGATGATACGTATATACCACATGCAATTAGTATGTAGCCTGCCTGTGTAAATTGATTTCATTTTCATTGTTTCATTGTTTCGCTTTATTTTTTAGACTTTATTTAGAGAAAGAGAAAGAGAAAGAGAAAGAGAAAGAGAAAGAGAAAGAGAAAGAGAAAGAGAAAGAGAAAGAGAAAGAGAAAGAGAAAGAGAAAGAGAAAGAGAAAGAGAAAGAGAAAGAGAAAGAGAAAGAGAAAGAGAAAGAGAAAGAGAAAGAGAAAGAGAAAGAGAAAGAGAAAGAGAAAGAGAAAGAGAAAGAGAAAGAGAAAGAGAAAGAGAAAGAGAAAGAGAAAGAGAAAGAGAAAGAGAAAGAGAAAGTTTAGAGTTGAATGTTTACCATTTTTAAGCGTAAATCTTAGTCATGATATGACATAAACCAAATATTTTTTATGTTTACATTTTTAAGTAGGTAACATTTTTTTTCCATTACCCCATGTTTCGTTTGAATATCAATGACGATTTCCTACCATTTGATGTCCGTAATCCAAAATTTTTGACGTCAAAAGTTGACATCAAAGTGAAATATATTGAATTGAATGTTTCCTTTTCCCAGAGTTTATGAAACGTAACTTTTTGTCATTGTGAATTTATGCGAAGACTTCCCTTTAGTATTGTGTTTTGGAATCGTTCAGTGGCTTTCAACTGTTTTCTTGCTTTGTAAATAAACAAATAAATAAATATCGATTTTCTCTTTTAGGTTGTTCATATTAATATACTTGTTCATATTAATATAATTGTTAGCTTCCTTAACAGTTTATGTGAACGGTCTACTGCTAAAATTTTAGCTTACAGAAGATAGTTGTGCAATTATCAATTGAATTGTCATTTATGTCACTACTATTTTATCGTCCTTAATAATATGAGATTAATATCAAAATAACAGCATAAAACAGCAATTAAATTAAGTATCAACACAGAGTAGGGTTGGATTTAGTCTTAATCAGATATATGCGAGTGTATTATAAAGGAATAAGTAGTACCTCTTATTTATCCTCCAACGAAGGTTAGACCCGTTGTAAAAGTTTTGGGCTCCTAACCTATCTCCTGGCAGATTTCGTAATGTCAACATTATCTCTAGAGACTTTAGAGTTTATATTACAGAATTTCTGTTCATGAAAAGGTAAATACATTATAATATGTTTTATTATAAGTCATTTTATAAACTTTTGAAGCATGAAGTAACGTTTAATGGGTCTTTGGGAAGTTACGAACTTAGCAATGGCGGATCACATACTGTAATGTAAGTACGTATAAATAAATAAGATTCGTTCGAGATATGAATGGTTCTCTAGGTCGATGAGGGTTAAAAATTGTCGTTGGAATTTTGTGGAAGAGTTTCGTCGATTAAGGGTTAAATAATAAAGTAGGCGTGGAACTTCTATTTGGTGTTGCATACGTGCTATTTGAAGCTCAAACCTTCTCTGTGTGAGACGAGGTTTTTGGTCAGGTGTGGGAACTTATAACTTGTTAATTAAATGTGCAACATTATCGTAATTTATTAATTGATCACACATCGATTTTTGGATGATCATTTGGGGTTTGGTTAGATAGAAAGTAAATTTTTAATGTCTGCTATAGTTGTCATGTTTAAACTGAACCCAAAATGGGCGCAGTATCTTTTAACATCCAGATAGTGTGAATTACACCCACAAAGCGTTGCGGGGCAGCGGCGCTGTCTATCGACATAAATATATCAAGCAAATATACGTATACCTAACCAATAAAACTCGAATAAGAATCATTTTTGAAGATCACATAATGCTCAATACAGACCATTAACTTTATATGGATGAAAGCCAGCATAAAGTTATATTAGTGCAAACAATTTAGGGAACAGAATCGTATTTGAGTTATGAAAAGCAATTATAATGTTGCGCGTTGCGAACGGAGGTGGTGTTTGCTAAAAAGATTTGTGTACCTACACTCCGCTTATACTCGTGTAGGTCCATAATACAAGAGTGTGTGCATGGAAAAGCTTTAATAGCGAGTGCCAAAAGAATTTGCATAGTTAGGTATGTTTTTTTGAGAAATGTTTAAGCATTTACTAGGTATAAAGATCAAAAAGAAAATAAATAATGGTTGTTATCTTCGTTTTGAAAAGTAGGGGGAAGTTCGGGTTACTCGGACCCTGGAGGGTAACTTTAGTCTAAACCTCTTAACCAATAATAACCCAGAACCAAAACACACATAAGTTTTTCATTAGTTTGGAAGTTTGGATCAAAGTTAGCTCCAAGGGTCAAAGTAACGAGAGATAATCCCCGGCCACCGTAAGCGTAGATCTGCTGACGGCGAGTACGAGTAGCTCGCCGCCCGACCAGAACCAGACTCGAGGGTACGGCGCGTAGCGTTCCGCGCGTGCCTCAAGGAGCCAATAGACCACCGCAGACGGGGGTTTTTAGTCAGTAAGAGTCTGACACTCTCTATTACCTTACCCTGGGTGGCAGAAGTCATTTGATGATTTTCCCCTAACCAAAAAAAAGGGTCAAAGTAATCAGAAGTGACGGTAGTGGGTAATGACACAAATAGATTCTTAATTTATCCCTGATTCACAGTTCTATTTATTTCAGTAAAAAGTTCATTCTGTTGTGATTTGAACAAACAATCAATAAAATAGAAATAAGTTTGTGATGATACCGAAGACCTATTCTTCCCTCAATCCGCATTTTCCTATCCTTCAAAAAGCCAGCAACGCTCGTGGAACTGTTCTGATGTTCTTTGTTAGCGTCAAGCATAAAGTGAGCAGTCTACTCCTTTGCCACCTGATCACATAAAATTGGAAATAAAGGCACAAACAAATCCTTTTTGGTGTTTAAAACAAAAGTAAAGGTTAAATTATTAAATTTAAGCTGGATGTTGCATAAATATCGTGCGCCATTTTGGTGTAACTGAAACTTAATTAAGTAATTAATTTTATTTTGCCATTGTTAATATTTTAATACCATAACTTTGTAACGTAACCCATGAATTTAATAATAATAAAGCTTCGTTTTTGTTAAGATATTTTGTCATTATAATTATTTGCTGTACCGAGTTTTCTTGAAGGCGTAGGCAGAGGAAGAGGTGTATTAAGCAATTTGTTCTGTGTAGGAATGAAATCCCAGAAGGCTTAATCTTCCTAAGTAATTTTCTAACCTTCAGTAACCCCATCACAAGGTTAAACATAACGCAAGCGTTGATTCATGCCGGTTTTCTGTAACGTCATAGTGACTCCTCCGACCGAACCGGCCCGTTCATGCCAAAGCAGGACTGTGCGAAACTTTTACATCCTTTTTTTGTGAGAGGATAAGCACCAAATGATTTCTCTTAATGTCAGACTCTTACGGACTAAAAAGCACCCCGTTCCTTCTTCTGTTCGAGATCGAGGCCGCGGTTCCTTATTGCTCTTAAGTGTGGGAGAGTCATGCTTCGGCACGAATGGGTCGGCTCGACCGCAGTGATGCCACGGCCTCACAGAAAACCGGCGTGAAACAACCACAGCGTTGTATTTCGCCGTGTGAGTGAGGTTACCGGAGGCCCAATCCTTCCCCTCGCCCAATCCTTACTCAATCCCTAAATCTCCAAAACTCTAATCCCTAAAAGGTCGACAACGCACTCGTAAATCCTCTGTTGCGAGTGTCCATGGGCGGCGCTGATTGCCAAACTATTACATAAAAAAAATTGCGCTTGCCCCACAACCATGGCTGAATAACTTTTACCTTCTGTCGTTGCAAGTATTGGTTTCTTTTGTCCTTATAAGTATTGGTTTACGCTTATATTGGTGTGAAAAAATGACGGAACGTCCCATACAAACTTTTAATCCTTTTTAGGATCAGCCGGGGTTGCGGGGTAAGCGCACTGAGGCACCGCGACCTCGGCCCAGAGCAGGAGAAGGAACAGGGGGGTTTTTAGTCAGTCAGAGACTGACACTCCCTACTCCCTACCGCCTGGCCCTGGGCGGGAGAAGTCATTTGATGATTTTCCCCTCACAAAAAAACCTTCTTTCTAGGATAGTGGGAGTTTATAGCGAGGTAAAGTGTAACCTACGTTTCTTTTTTAGTTTCAAGTTACTTTTAGCAGCCAAATCGGTCCAGCCGTTCTGGACTTATAAATACTCTAACTGTATACTCTGCTGACACAAGTTTCTCTTAGATAAAGGTATAGTGTCTAATGAAGTATTTAAGCTATTGATGTACTTATGTATATGTCATATGACCTTTTTACAAATACGGCTTGTATTTGTAAAAAGCCAAGCCATAAATATTGCTTCCCACTTCATAGATCGAAGCCGCGGCCAGGGGCTATAAGATACGCATTCATCCTTTTTATAACCCGCATTATGTTGATAAAGTTCACAGACCTATTCAGGCCTTTATATTAGTATGGTGTGCGTGTGACACGTTTTTATTGATAGCCAACTTGAATACTTAAAAGTTCTATAACGTTACCTATATAAATAACACTTTCGGCGACTAATTTTCATCATGGGTATAACAGGTTTCCTCATTACGTTTTCGCTCACCAGTGGTGTCTTAAAATATTTAGAAAGTATACATAGAGTAATTTTCAATCGCAAATCCTTTTTTTATTTCGTTGGGACATCGTATACCCACACCGATTTTCGTTTGTGCCATAGCTGCGGTCACCAAGATACAATTTGAAATATGCAAACGAATTCAAATATTCAAACTCAGAACCGGAACACTTTATGTGGATCGCGCAAAGAGTTTTTACGTTCGGGTGCCAGATCTACTAATCCTCCTAATGAAAATTACGAAGAGAAAACAATTTCAACTGAACGATAAGCCAGTAATAATAAAAATCGATCACGCATTATTAATGTACGCGAATTTTTATCACTAGTTGACATTTACGCTTTTATCAAGTTGTCAGATAAAGTGATAAATTTAACAATAGCTTCCTGCTTGCAGTGATTTAACATGGCTTAATATCAGTGCAATCAAAGTCGTGATGGCCCGGAGGTTCCTACTTCTCAGGTTTATGAGTGTGGGCTCAAATCGTGGCAAGTAGGTACCAACGTGACTTTTTCAAAGTTACAAGTTACATGCCTAATTGTATTTGAACACCATCGATAAGCAGCAAAGGAAAACATCGCAGACTTATAATACGGTAGTTTCCAACAAGTCAAATACTACTACTACTAATACTACTTTTATCCAAATGTCAAAAACGATACTTTTCTACGAAATTTGTACGAAAAACTGAGTTATGTCGTCATAGTATTTTAGCGTCAAATAGTTTACTATAAATAATTCAGTACATCGATCGATCGATGAATAAAAGTATAGTTATTTTATTGTATTGAAACATCGAATTTAATTTTGAC